TCTATTATGTATTAAAGAGTGTATTACTAATACCATTGTTTTCTAGGTATTAGTAATGCAAAGGGATTTATGCATGCATTAAAATGGTTAAAGACTCAATTACCCCTCAAAAGCACTTTTACATCTTTTTCACCACAATTGTGGTGGATATTTTTGTAAATAAATGTTTTTATACAATGTGTACTATTTTTAATCCATCAAACCAAACAATGCATAAAAAATAATTTATGCATAACTAATACAAACATTACTTATGCAAGCATTACTAATACATTCTATTAGGCATTATTTTTTTACACTCTACCAAACAACCACTTCAAGTATTTTGGGTACTCAACAGTGTAGATTGTTGAGGAGTTCAGAGGAACTCAACAAAAGAATGAGCCCGGAGAGCACAGAGTAGGTTAAGTAGGAAGAGAAATGGGCTTGAAGAAAAAATACTGCTCTGATAGTTTGAGTTGTGAGAGAAACCCAGAGTGAGCGAATACACAAGATAAAATATACAGTTGGGCCAAAAATTTAGAGAATATAGAGAACATGATTGCATCAGACTTGAATAAGGGAGTTCCCTAAACTTAAGCTCCAATTCCATATGAACGAATGTAAGCTGTAGAGGTGGGTGTTCGGTTCTTTCGAACTTCGGTTTTCAGTTATTCATAAGGGTGTACCAAATACCAAACCATTTTTTCTTTCAAATTCAGTTCGGTTCGGTTTGATTTTTTTCTAATTTTGGTTCTTCAGTTTTTTCTAATTGATCATTCCATATGCCCAAATTAGTTGATGGAAGTGTGACTTTGGTTCCGCAAAGCCTCTAGTGCTCATTCAACAGCCACATATGACAGCATGAAGAACTTGAGCAGCCACCCAAATGACTTTAAAAGATTAGTAATCTAGAACCCTTTGACCAAGCAAATAGATACAAAATAATAATTGCAATACCAATAATGTTGTTCATAAGAATAAATTAGTAAAGCCACAAACGTACTTGCTCAAAACCAAGCATAAGATTAGCCCACTCTATATCTCTTGTTATCAGCAAGTTAGATCTTGCAAGAAGAGGTGCAACCATGGCCTGAAAGAAGAAAGATGTTGGAATTTCGGTGCTTTTTACACATTCCAACTCTAAACAGAAACGAAGGCAACAAGTCTACATTTTCTGATTGACAACAATAGCAATATACATCTACATGTTTAAGCAGGAAAGGTAACAAACTACAATGAAATTTTCAGCCTAAAATAAAGAGTTCATAAACTAAAAAGACACGTTCCAGCCATGTCTGTAAAGGAAAATATAGAGTGACTCTGTATCGTACCCTAGACAAAGCAACTTAAAATATGCCCAGGGTTGTTGATGGAAGTGCGATTTTGGGTCAGCAAAGCCTCTGGCGCTCCCCTTAACAGCCAGGGATACCAGTATTTGAGATGAAGAACTTAAGCAATAACCAAACTGACTTTAAAATGATTAGTAATTCAGAACCCTTTGACAAAGCAAACAGATACATAGTTCCTTAAGCACGAAAATAACATTTTAAAGATATAATCAATGAGCTGAAAATATGAGGATTTCGAGATTCTGTCCCTCTAAAGGGAGCAAGGTGACTAGAGCACTGAGTAGGGTCAAAGATCTCCCGTGAAGTAAATGCAAAACCAGTTGCAGAGCAAACACTTCTTATAATGCATGAGCAATAGTAGACACATTACTCATTAGAGCCATCAGTTAGGAAGTAAACAACCTAGTCAGATACTGAGCACACCTATTCAAATTAAAAGAAGCAACAAAGACAGAAGTGATTGGCCATTTTGCAGATACAAGACCAATTAAAGCTATAACTTGGGAATCCAGTTCCATGTTTGGGGGCATATATGTTGAACATAAAATTCTACATTTCTTTTGCTATGAATGCTAGAAGAGTTTGACAACTCTACCTCCTCAACTGATGTTGGCTCCAAAATACCTGTCACAGATTGGCTTGTAGGTGGTTGCTTGAGAACTGGATTGACTTTCTTGTGAGGTGTCACTTCAGGAATGGAGGCACCTGAGAACATTTTTTTGAACCCAACTTGGAAAAATGTGTCAAAACCTGTTGTTCCTCTCTGGTCTACAGTATTTCTCAATTTTCTTTTTTGTTTTTTTCCAAATCTTTGTTTCTTTTTGTCAGCAAGCCAACGCTGCACAGAAGAAGCCCTTTTCAAATCAGGACCATCTCCCGACCTCTTCCCATATTGTCGAGATGCAACAATTCCACCTGGTCCTGCCCCTTGGGCAATGCCAGTAACAAATCCAGGCAGCTTAGCCCTCCCTAGCATATTTCCTTCAAAGGTCAATTCTCTACAACGATTTCCAGTTTGATTAAGCGAAGACGATAGGTATCTTCTTTGTAACTCTGATTGGACAGAAGAACTGTTTTTAACATCAAAAATCCCATTCCAACGCTCATTTGTCCCCAAACTTTCTGATGATCTACACTTGTATTGTCTAGCTAAAAAACGAAAACTCTTTCTCCAGCTCATCTATGATAAAATAACCTTAATCAAATACATTATTAATCAATATGAATACGCATTCTTAAGTAGTAAAAACATAGCAAAATTCAATTACTCATAACTCGTAATCAGGAACGGAGCTAGCTTATCAGTCCAAACCTTACATTTGTACTAAGAAATTACCAATTTAAAACCCAGTAACTCTAAAGGACTAAAACCCGAACAATTAAACTTCAAATTTTGTCTTCGCCTCTATAGCATATTCATGAAATTGAAACATAAACTCAAACTGTAAAGCTTTAAATTAGTCATTAGCAAAACAAGCAAATACAAAAGAATGAATTCTAAAAATATCTAAACAAGGGGGTTTTCAACCAATCACACCATAAAAAACGCACAAATTCATAAACACTTCAATTGAATTATTCTCACCTTAGCATAACGGAGACGGATATCAATAATGTTGATCTACAAAAGAATTTGCTGGAACTTCAATGGCGTTTAAGGGAAGTACAGTGAGAATTTGTTATTCGAAGTTACCAAAAAGGAGAAATGGAGAATGTGAGAGACTATTGACTATCAAACCGTCGGGTCGGGTTTTGTGCCCGATTCTGTTTTGCGGGAGAAGTGCAAAGATGGCCAATTTCAGTCATTTACACTTGTCCCTCTTTATATTGGTACTCCCTCCGTTTCATATTAATTTAATTTTTGAGGTATGTCATTAAAAAAAAAATAGATTTTGATATAAATTGAACTTAATTTCTATCTTTTTTTAATTAATCATTATTAAATTTATTATTAAAATAACTAAATATTAATTACTTACTAATTTCAATACTAACTAATGAAGTGTAAAATTGAAAGAATACTTGAAAAGTAGTTTTAAATAGGCATAATTAGGGTTGTTTATGGTTATGGTTAACAACCAAATCAAATCGCAATCCGAATCAAATCGATTTTGAAAAATCGATATTTGATTTAGTTTGGTTAGGTTTGGTTTTTAAATTTTGAAAACCGCTGCTATTTAGTTTGATTTTGGTTTTACTAAAGAACAACTCCAAAAATAACAAAACTGAACCGGTAAATTGGAAATATAAATTTTATAATTATTTATATATTATTCATAAATAAGTTTAAAATATTTTGTTAGATTGTAATTAACTTAAGTCTTTAACTTTACCATTTTCTCAGGCCCAACACTTCCAAGTATAACAATCTCAAATCTAAGTCCATCAAAATCTATTTTAGTTTTTTCCTAATTGTACTTCACATAAAATAGTCATACTTTCTCTTATATGAAACACTTTATTCGTGTAATGATAACTCTAATATTGCTTAATTGATTCACTAAACCGACATTAGTTTTTCTGTAGAATATTGTTCATGTACTTAGTGTTTGTGTCTATCGAGATATGTACATCCTAAAAAAAATATTACTTTCAAACCAAATAAACCAGAAAAACTGAAGCAAACCAAACCAAACTGACAATAATCAAATTGATGGTTATTTTTTCGTTTGGTTAGGTTTGATTTTAGAAATTTAAGAGACCGACTAAATTGGTTTGGTTTTAATTTTAATCAATAACCGATCCAAATCGAACCATGAATACCCCTAGGCATAATACATAAATATGTCATTTACTTTTACCTCATTTTACATTTATATCCTCCAACTTTGAGTATGCACCAGCAGACACTCAAACTTGTTTAAATTGAACAAATAGACACGGGCGTCCTAAGTGACATCCTACATGACGATTGCGTCCTACGTGGTGTCATATGTATATATGTTATGCCTAATAACTATATATCATTTCACTTAGCATGTGAATGCTTGAAAATAGGGTTGCGTATTGGTCGGTTCGGTTCGATTTTGAAATTTATCGGGTTGATTTATTGGTTCTTGATTTGTAGAGATGCAAAACTATTAAGATATTGGCTAATCAGTTATTGATTTATCGGTTTTTTATCGTTATCGGTTATCGATTTAACAAAAAAGATAAAACATTGAAAATCACTTAGAAATAAGGTGACAAACCAGATAAACCATGCACTTGATTTCACAAGTTACATCTTGCTCAAAAGCAAATACATTTACATTGTAGAATAACTCAGTGTTTGAGACAACCAAAAATAAAAGTAGAAAATCAAACTCTAAGCCGAGGACGTTATATACAAAATGATATATTAATAATTATTTAATTTACTATGGGGTTATCGGTTAACCCGTCAAGAAAGAACTTCAAATCGTGAAGAACCAATAACTCGATAACAAAAAAATTCTAAATCACTAAATCAATAACCCAATACTATAAACCAATAACTATTTTATTGGTTCGGCTTATCGATTTCAATTCAATTTTGAACAACCCTACTTGAAAATGATGAATGAGTCTAGTGCATGTTTTATTGCATTTGTAATTTGAAAAAGTTAAAGTGCACGCAGATCTTATCACTATCTCATAGATAGAAAAATTGTTTCTGATAGTCAAACCATAGAGTAGAAACACAAAGAATGAGTTTCAAAAAATCAAAACACAATGTTTTTTATAAATCACCATCAAAAAGGTCTTTTGTTCAATCATGTAAAACTCATAACATATAATCTACTAACATATGGGATGGATACAAAGTGATGTTATTCTTGGGTTGATAAATTTTCAGTCTCAGGTTTAAGCCTTGCAATAGCAATACTCCTAAAAACTTTCAAAATCCCTTTAAATGATACAGCTCCAACCAAATTTTGATCTTCATCAATGACCCAAACAGAAGTAGCACGATGTGCAAGTGCTTGAATTAACACAGCTACCAATGAACTCCCGGGATAACAGGTGATCGCTTCTGACCTTCTTGACGAGGAGAATCGTCCTGATCCATTTCTACTCGATCCAGATTCATCGTCAGAAGAACAACTGCAAGCTGAAGATGATGAAGACGATGCTGAAAATTCTTCCTCCATTATAAGTTTGGTCATCCGGTCAAGTTTTTTCTCTTGCAATCTCATTTTCACCAATCCAACTAAGTCCTCTGGAGGACCACCGTAGTCGATGTATGCCATGAGATCACCGGCTGAAAGAGTCGTGATTGCTGCTGCAACGTCTTCATCACAGTATGCAAGAGTTGAAGCAGAGATTTCCCCAATTAGTTTGTTGTCATTATCCACAACTGCCAACGCGGTTTGTTCAATATTTGCTAGAGTAATCGAATCCAAAGCAGATATTGCAGGATCGTGGTAACCTATTGTCATAATGTTGTGATCAATGATGTTGAGGGATTCAATCGAAAACGTGGGCATAGGAGAGAAAACTCCAATTGAATTAAGAAGAAAACGTGCAACATCTTCTTGTGTTAACCAACAATATTCAACTCCATTATGATTTGTAGATCTCGGAGAGGATGATTTTCTCCTTGAATCTGTGCTTCCATTGTTGTAAATTGGTATGACCGCGTTTTGAGTACCTTCAATCATGTAATCTATTGCTTCGAGCAAGCTGATCAACAAACAGAACTAATGCAATTTCAGAAGACTAACCAATAACAGCAATAGATCCATTGAAAACTAAGAAAAACGATTCAGGAAAAGGAAAATTAGGCGAAAATTTCTGCTGCAAAGTAATTAGTTAGATAACAAAATTCAAGGGAAGAGCAATACAAACCTTGAATTGGGATCCAAATGCCTCACAATTGAATCTCCTTTAGGCAAAATCTTCGAAATCGGAACTTCAAATGCTTTCGAAAAATCAATCAAATGCTCTTGTTTAGAGAGAAAGCAAATCAAATCCACCATAGATATCTTCCCAACGCAATGGCATCCATCATAATCAGCTTTAGCTTTTTCTAGAACCGAAGAAGAATGATCGCAATTCCATAAGCTTAAATGCGTCTCGCCGGATCTCTTCAACAACAATAAAGCCTCTGCTACGGTAGCATTCTCCGGAATTGACCTTAACGCCGGCTTACCAAGGCATAAATCTGATACATCCCGGTTCAAAAAACGAACTGCCATGCCATGCAAATAATAATCACCGAGATAGATAATATTAATAATATGAAGGCAAAAGAAAAAGGGAAATAGGCGGAGGCGTAGACGGCGAGGCAAAAATGGAGAATTTTGAGTTGCCGGAAAACGCCGTGTGAGAAGATCCGGTGGTCGTCTCAGGGGATGACGACTGAGGAAAAAATGGGGGAAGATTGAGATATTTATAGGCGGGAGATTACCTGAATAACCGGTAATTAGTAAAAGGAATGAGCTTTTTTTTTACACTGAATGTGGGGCCACGGAGGATACAAGTGGTTAAGTAAGTTTGATTTTTGGAAAGAATGAGAAATGACAAAAATATCCCCTCTCCCTTTCGGGCTTTAGCTGATATTCGATATTTACATTAAAATTTTGATTAATTTAGAATTTTTTTTTCATATGTGAGGTTGAACATGATTTTGCCTCTCGTTCTTCAAATCAAGCCTAATAAAACTAATACTAATGGTTCTAGATTGGGACTTTGATATATTGTACTAATATGTATAGATTTTTCGTAATTCAAGTGAGATTGCTATGACGCAAAAGCATATATAATTTTATATCTCTCCATCTATGAAATATGTTCTTTATATCTCATCTAATAGAAATTAATTAATTAATTAAGCACGACTTGATGTGTTAAAAGCGTTATTTAATTTTGTACAAAGAATTTAAAGAAATGCAAAGTGTACAACTAAAGTCTTAATTAATTTAGGTTTTAAATGTTTATCCACTTGCATTTTTTCATAACGTCATAATGAAAATACAATTAAGAGAAAATGAAATTTAAATTAAATTAAATGATTTATTAAATATCTGTATAAGAATTATATTGTATAATGTATTTATTATGGGCATTAATTTCTCCTAAAACGTATTCATATGATCTATATTACGACACTAACTTTAATCCGTCGTCATGAATTACGTGAAATTATATTTTTATTCATATAAGAGTGGACGAATTAGTTGAGCAGAGTTTTAGGTTCAAAACTTTCATATGCTTGCTTGATCATGATAATTGTACATAGCTTACCTAATATGATTTACCTCTCTTTTATAAATCACGATTATTAATTGTCGATGGGACAAATATTTAAATTCGAGCCATGAAATCGGAAAAATAGCATATCAAAAAAAATGAAGGGCAAAAAAGGTCCTACCGGGAGTCGAACCCAGGTCGCTGGATTCAAAGTCCAGAGTGCTAACCACTACACCATAGAACCAGATGTGTTGGTTTCAAGACATAAAGTTTATATACTAATTATTAATTGAAACACTTCTCACTAGTTTGCTTCTAGAGCTTGAACGGTAGAAATAGTCACTAATACTTACATTAAGGTAGTTTGTCTACATAACAACCTTCAAAAGAGATCCTTATTCAAGCCCCGCTAATGCGAGATAGCAACTGTTTCATATATGTTGCAATAGGCCCTAACTATTGCCATAAGAGCTATAGTAACTGTTTGCCAATCGTCTCATCTGCTCGTGTTACTATAGGTCTATTGTAACGACTAATGTAACGATTCTTAAAAGAGTTGCTATAAGTACCTCTATTGCGACGATTATCCTTCCATATACAGGAACTATAATAATACATCAGTTGTTTTGCATTAGGGATTGTTGTAATGGTTAGTAACCATTGCAACAACTTTTTCTTATCACAACAAGTTTTTAAAAATATTATGGCAACGATCTTTATTGATATTGCAATAGTTTTATTTTCTAATGCAATCAATTTATATGAATCTACAGTTTTTCTTGACCTATTGCAAGAGTTCATGTTTATTGAGAATTATATATATTTAAATATCAACAACAATTTATAAAAAAGATTATCTAAATAAAATTATGAAATAAAACGACTAATTATGTAGCTGAATCATATATATTATTCAAGATATCCTATTCACAATATCCATAAAGGTATTTTATATATACCAAATCACATGTTTTCAAAATTTTGAACTAGTTTAATATACTAATAGAAATTAAAATAAAAGATTGTAGATTAAAATAAAAAATTAATTGCAAGTTGCTTTTGCAATTAATTGTTAATAAGGATTCAATGGGTTCATGGTATGTATATCAAAGGAGACATAAAGCATTGAAAGTGGTTCTTGAGGAAAATCCACTGCATAAAAGTAATAATGGACGAACAAAGATTTTAACTATCTAACTTTTAAATAAATAAACACATGAGTCCTACATGACACAATACACGACACCACGTTGGATAAAAAATGACATGTAGTATGACATGTGTGTCTATTTGTTCAAGAACTTTTAAACATTGAATCCCTCCCCTATAAAAGCTTCTGGATAACGTTGATTACGAACAAGAGTACTATTGAAATTACACAATTTTCTCTCAGTAGAATACATTTGGATCACCCAATCTATGTGGAGATTGTCTTTAATATTGACCGATGTTTTAATATGGAATATCGATCAGTCAAAGTTCGTGTTTTCCTTTTGTAGTTATGTAAAAAAGCACAATAAATATTCAATCAAAGCATACCTCGCTAGCAAAACCTAATGTAAGCATTAATGATCGCTTCCACAATTCGTTTCACAACACAAAAATGTACAATAATACTCACTCTTTATCATATGGTTTGACATATTTTGTTTACTTCTTTCTACTTCCTTTTTGTTTCTTACATTTCTTCTTCCTTCTCCCTTGCTTCCTTTCAGCCTGGTAACCTACCACCTCGAGTCTCTTACTACCAGACGGAAGAAGATTCATCGTAGCAACTTGATCACACGATACATTAAGTTTCTCCGCGCATTGGTTCTCTAACGCGATGATTCTATTCTTGGGTACAATGAAATGGTTCAAGAAAACTTCTAACTTGGTTTTTTTTGATAGCAAGCTCTTTAGCAACTGTTCAATCCTTTCCTTTTCAAGAGTGCTGCATAAACATAATAATACAACAAAATTACAAAATGAAGAGCCAAAAAGTTTAATATATATTGCTAGGAGAAAACAACACAGCGATTCACCAAAGCGGACATCTGTTTAGTAAATGATGCTCTTTTTTTTACCGTTTTGATCACAGTTGAGTATCTTAATGACAAAACATTAGACCACGTTCTAAAATTTTATACGTTATTGCAAACGTTGAACGACAGTCTAACTTTTTGTTCGAAGTATATGATCAACACTACATCTTAGGGGACATGTTATGCATCTCAACATCCACAGTGCACTTTTACATGTAGAACATGACAGAAACCATGTCGTCTGCCCCTCATTGTTCAAATTAGTTTTGGCGATGGGTGAGGGGAACAACGTTTATTGATCTATAACGATATGCTTAACCAAAGGTTTATATGATATAATCCAGCAGACATAAAGTTGAAGAGTAAAGAAACTAAGAAACAGCGAACCTCGTATTCATCAATGAAAGAAGTTGTATCAACTCCTGAAGCATATTACGCGTTTCCTGCATCATGTCCTCAGCAACATAAAGTTTCTTCTCCGAGCACAGATTGATTGCAGCGGTTAAGAAGCTTACATTAGCATTCATTTCCTCCTTGAAACAAAAAAAAACACAAAGTTTAGTAACTTGATATAAACAAATTCGACCCGAGCACAACACATAACTTTACTGAATTCCAAGTTATAACACTGAGGGAATTAGGTAGTTTAAACCTTCAAATTAACAGTTGAGACACTTGCAGAAGTTCCACTGTCAGCGCTGGCACTAGACTTCAAGACGTTTGATATTTCCTGAAACACTGCCCAATTCAGTTGCACGTATTGATCTGTCTCAGGAGTAATGATCGGAATCTTTGCTGGAATAGTGCTGGTTTGATCTACAGAGTAGACCGTTTCAGCTGGAATCAACAAACTCAAGGTATCTTCTCTGCTGCAATCTGCTCGCAGCTGCACAGAGGCAACGTTGGAATACTCAACTCCTGGAACAATATCACCAAGGTTGACAACCAAAAGCGGATCTCCGCCTTTTTGAAAAGCTTCAACAAAATCATTGATATGAACACAATTATTATCCGTTCCTCGTTGAAGAATGTCATAAATTTCCTCTGGAAATTGTTTCCTAACATCGTTGATACGGAGCACTCTGAAAAGAACGTCATAGTATTTCTCACAGTTGAGACACAGTAAGCACAGGATAAACACCAATCTCAAGACCATTTGCTTATAGTACATTTCAACATTGATTTTCGATCGAGCAATCCACTCTACTGTACAAGCTTTGTCAAAAATGAGTTGTTGTACCATCACAAGAATGGAATCATATAATTCTTCTAAAACCGGTGTCTTAATAGCATTCTTAGACGTTGGTCGGGATTCAAACTGCTCAGACATCAGCCATTCCACGAATGAAGATTTAAACACGAAGAACATTCCATGATACTGAGATACCAAAATCAGGAAATGCTCAAGAAGATACAAGAAACAGACAGGGGAGAAACAGTCGCCAATTATTGTCCAATTCTCGTCTCTTCTTTTCCAATTCGCGCTAAATGTATCCTGCAAAGCTTCACAAAATTTCTGCAATAACTCATAACATTCAAGATTAATGTTGCTCAATAGAACTTCTTGAAATTTCAACGATTCTTCTCCAACATAATTGCCTGACTGATCAAAATCTTCCCAACATTCTCTCTGCTTCGTACAATAGAAAATTTCGATTAATGATCTCCAAGGAACATCTGATGGGATTCTTCCAACAATTTCCTCGTACAGCTCCTCGGGAAGTTTTCCCGTAGCAAGGCATACGATCACCATTCTTCCAATCTGTCCATAGCTAAGAGTACCACTAATGCCAATATCCTGAAAAATACATTCTTGAAGTAAGTCACAAGAAAGTTTCGTTCTCCTCAGAGAAATCATACGTCCCACCATTGGCTGTCGGGGATCGAAGGGGAATATCTTCTCAAAGTATTTTGTCGACACTAACGTCAAAACCTTCTGTATGCTCAACTCAGTACTGTTCAAGACATGGTACTTGGACTCAGTTAAAAACTTAGCGATCTCGTAAACATTTAGCAGGCACACGTTTTGCCAAAATAAAGGCAACGAGTTTGCAGCCAACTCATAGAGGGATGCAAGAGTTTCAACAACCTTCAGACCAACTACGAGTAATGCAGTATGCCAATGAGTACGAACAGCAGTGATAAAATGTCGAGCATCAACAAATACCATTTGTTTGTTCCGCCTTACAACAGAGCTCTGAATATATTTCACCCATTTGGCTGCTGGATGCAGCAGAACATATGTAACGTTGAGACCATTCAACTTCTGCCTTACGCCAAAGTATTTCAGACAGAATTCACCAACTCCTTTGAATTCACCAAAATCAACATCTCCGAGGCACTCAAGAGAATCAAGAACATCAATAACATTATTCTTCCACGAATTCCAAAAGTGAAACAGTGTCCCAATACTAACCGGGCTGCACGGAATAAGTTCTTCTGAACCATTTAGATTACCCGATAACTTATCATCCCAAACATACTTTGTTACGTCATATTGAAAATGAAAATCCAATATCTTTCTACAACACAAAATTTCACCTAGGAAACTTTTACATTTCTTAGAGGCAATGAAATTATGCTTCAAGACTGACCAATCAACCGACTCGTTCGATAAAACCTTAATCTCAACGCACACGGTTTCAAAATTTGACCCCTGCCTCGCGAATATCATCGCCTTCTCTAAAATTTTCTCCATTTGCACGAACGATTTCAAAGGCCAACCTTTACTTCCAGCCATCCATAATGAGTAAGAGAGAACATACAATAGTAAGAGTGAGCACGCCTTATCGAAATCCCCTATCTTCCCAAGAAGATCAGCTTCACAAAGTACATTTCCAATCAAATCTGTGATTTCAATAGCTTCAGCAATGTTTCCTGATTGTTCTTCTAAAAGAAGCAACTCATCGAGGCACTTTCGAGACATTAAGAACTTGCGCTTTAAGTCCATTGATGGGAAAAATCTTACAAATTTCATCATAGATTTTCTGTCCTTATGCACAAAAGAGTCAGATGCACAACTCTCCAAGAACTCCATCCTGAGTTCATCAATTTCATCAGCACTTTTCCCAACATTATCGCGCTGACAAGCATTTTGCTTCCAGAAATCGATATATTTCAGACCTAAGTCATAGCATTTTCCTTTGATACAAACTGACAGACACTCTGTGAAATGATTTCTTTTTGCATAAATTTCTGCAGCCTTATTATAGCGACCAGCCAACGTAAAACATTCAGCAGCCTTTATCAGTTCACCACACTTGTCCAAATAAATACTTCCTGTATGCATGTATTGTATTACAAGTTACACATATAAACCGAAAAACATGATCAGATATGAAATTTTCTCATGCTTAAGTGAAGATGTCGCAAAGGAAATGCACTACATATGTACATATCACATACTTAAGTTTAGAACGTTAATAACACTTGAACTAATAGTTCAAAAATGCAAAACTAATAAAGTTGAAATGATGGCTCTGCCTCTTCAATCAATATGCTTCGATACCTTCAAGCTTAAAGCACAAAACTGGATACTTAAAACTCCAGAAACAGAAATGCGAAATGACTTAAAATCATAACAAATTAAAGCAGCAGAGAAGGAAAAGAAAAAGAAAAAAGAGCAATTTCGTAAGATCACCAATTTCATACCTGCTTGTTTATAATCTTTTAAGTCATAAAAACACTCTGCTGCAGACTTAAATTTGCCGATAGAAAGAAAAATTTCTGCAGCCTCCAGAAAAATAATATGAGCCTTTTCAGGATCAGAATAACGAATTCGTTCAGCAGTTTCCATGTTATAAGCAGCCTTGGCTCTTTTCTCCCATTGTATTTCACCCGCTTGCTTGAAACACATAAGCGCCATCTCATAATTTTTCTCCCAAAAAAGCTGCATTTGAACATTAAAAACTTTAGGAGAACAGAAAGAAGTTGAAAGCACGCTTACTGGCGTAAGATGGAGAAATGAAAAATGTACGAGAGAGTAGAGCAATGGAAGGAGGATAATTGAGTTGACCTTTATTCCTCTCGATTTCCACTCCTCCGGAGTGCTGAAAGTTTGCATAGTATCTCTGACTGAATGTACATTCTTTACTTCCACAAGAGACAACATTTTCCAGTAGTCAAACATAGGCATGGAAAGATCATCTAGACTTTCACAGATCCATAATCTTTGTCGTGTTCGAGTAATAGCCACGTAAAGTTGCTTCAGTTCAGAACACAAGATATTATGTTTTGCATCACAGAAACTTGGGAAGGACAAATCAGCTAAATTATGTTCCTTCATATACGCATATACAACTCTCCATTGATTTCCGAGTGGCGATGAGCTAAAAAAATTGTACAGGAGTACATCCTACAAATGATCAATGAAGTATTATCAGGAGAATTCAGTAACTTCTAAATCAAATTAGAGGAAGTAGGAAAAATAAATTAGATGACTGAAATCTTAAGCACAATAAGCAATCAGAAGACTTGCCTCAAATTCGAGCCCTTTGCACTCAACTATGGTCAGAATAAGAGCTTTCTGTCCAACTAAACCATAGATTTCTTGCTTCGCGGATTCATCACGTACTAGTAATACTTGTTCTGCACCAAAGCCTACTATTTTTCCACTGTTATTCCCCTTGTTCCCGAAAAGAGTTATGATAGCATTTTCATCATTTCCGGACTTAAGCAAGACTGGAGATGCACCACCTATAAGACTTGTCTCAGATTTTAAGACATCAACAGATTCAGGAAAAAAATGACCGAGTAGATTGATCACACTCTGAGAAATTTTGAGTACACCGGTATGTGTACGGAAGTTCTGAAGCAACTGAAAGATAGGTGATAGATGTCCTTTATCTTTTCTTCTGACATCACTCTTTGAGTACATGAGAAACTCAGTGTAGAATAAACTTCTTATGTCCTCAAATCGAAAATCAACACCCTTTGCAATAGTCTGGGCTGTATCCCCCGAGAAAACAAACCCTTCATCCACATTTCTGCAAATATATTTGAAAAGAGAAAGTTGCCTCATCGTCAAGTCCTGAACTTCATCAATATATACAAAGTCCATTTTGTCACAATCCAATTGATCATGTTTTAGTCGAAGATGAATATCATTAACTAAATCAGATATATCAAATTCACCACGATTCATCTTCATCTTTTCGTAAGCTTGGAAAATATCATATATTCCCTCTCTCTTTTCCGCGCTTAAATTAGAGACACGACTTTTAGACATAGAAACATAAGCATCTCTGCTAAGCTTCCCGTCCTGAAAATCCCCAGCATGTAGCCCACCTTTTATATGAGACATTATTTCTGTAAAGACCCTTGAAGGATCAAGATTCTTCGTCAATTGACGTCTGAAGTGAGGCCAATACAAGCAACAAAAACGATCATAACTGATCTCGTTCTCTCTTATGAATGTTTCTATGGCAACTGACCTCAAGCTTCTGTCCTTGGAAAGCTTCCACTTCAAGTTAAATTTATTGAAGTATGAAGAACCTACCGTTCCATCAAGCATCATCAAGAATTTATGGAATGTAATCACAAGAGGGTATTTTTTGTATGGAATGCCTATAAAAGAATTCGGTATGTCCCTAAACGGCGTCGTTCCATCAAACTCATCAGCTTCAAAGCTGCTTTCAGCCCAGAAACTTTCACCAAGAGAAAACCTGCAGATTTGAGAGTGGTAATTGTAAGAGGAACACAAATTAGGATCAACAATTTCTACGCCTTTAAGGAACACAATCAAACATCTATGTCACTAACATCACCTACATTATGTATACGTTAACGAAAAGATTCTTAAAATAAAGTAGTTCCATCAGGCAACTCTACTGTAGCAGATTAGATGAATCACCTTTTCAGCTGAGAAACTTGTTTGTTGACCGCGTAACATAATTTAGGACTAACGGTGACAAATAGCTGGTGCAAGGTAGTCCTGTTAGTCTCTCTGATAGATTGTTCATTTTCATGTTCCTCGTATAGTCCGAATCTTGATTCCTCTGCTACGTTTAACCCGTGAACAGAACTATGGTGCTGCTGCTCTTTTTGGAACAACTTTAATGTTAACACGGTAGTTTTACCCGTGCCTGAGCGGCCAAGTATGAAACTGCTTTTACTGAAAAGGATTATCTTCCTCTCTTCATCAGTAACTTCAAAAGGAACATATATTTCTTCACCATGGCGATCAGAGAGCAAATGTGTGACGACACCAGATGATAAAGAGTAAAACTTCATTAACAAGAAGCTTTCACTCACTCTTGAATTCTCGACATATCCCGATTTACGGTTCAATTTTCTCTCAGCATCATTCTTATACTGAACAATCTCATGATGAACCTCCCAACACTTTGGAACTTCCAAATCACTAAACAGAAGACGAAAGTTAAAACCAAAGAAATTCTTAAAAGGAGACAACTTAAGTTTATCATAATATTAAAGAAACAACATTACCCCACGAAATACTTCTGATTACAGAGGTTGATGAAGTCCTTAGTGTACGTTAAACATACTGCATCGAGTCGTTTCAAAAACCCAGGAAACTCCTCCAAAGGCAAAATATCCCAAACCTTGAGAACTTGTGTATAAAAAAACTCTTCCTGAATATCAACAGTACAAACGAGATATCGCCCTTCAACCACCTTAAATTTCTTTACCACATGAGACGAATTTTTGCAAAGTAAGTCCACGTTCTTCCTCTTTGGGCGCCATCCACTTGCAAGCTTAACCAGAAGAGTTAACACATACTTTCTCAAGTACGGGGATGCCAACTTTCGAAATGATTTTCCAAAATTCTCACTGAATACTACCTGAAGAACCAAATAGAAGATATAAGCAGTTGAAATGTTACATCATTAGCACATATCTTCGGAAAAAATAAAAAAAATAAACAAGGCCATCTACGAAGCTATTGTTACACCAATAATATAAGCAATCCTCTAAGGATTTCAGAATTCAGATATAAATTACTACTATAGTCACACCTCACTTAGCTTAATTTCAGATACAAATGTCAACAATGTATAGTGTTCAAAATACAAGAAAACAACTAAGATAACAGGAAAAACTCACTTCAAAGAGAAAAGATTAGAGTGCATGATCGTTCACAGCGTCATTAATTCATTATAAATGATCCTATTATAATTCAACTCCTCCATTCCACGTCTATCGAATCTCCAATCAGACAAAGTAACACAACGCGGTACTCAGAAAAAGTTTTGTGTAAAAGACAGTAATGTGATTTCGTCCATTTATGTATGGAACAAAAGCAAGAGAATCTAAGAAATATGTGTACCTTCCATTTTTGTTCTTTGAATAGAGAACTATCCTCATTTAGAAAATCGTCCAATTGATCAAGTTCCTTCTTGACATCTAAAATTGTTTTTCTCATATCCGTATCTTCATCTGCATGAAAGAAGCATTTACGATCCTTGGCATTGAGAATTAGTTCTTCCCAGATGGAGTTACTATTCAGTAACGTTTGTTCATTGCCCAAAATCCAGAGACAGTGTCTAGAAAAAGAACAAAAAATCTTAGACAAAGCAGAATTGATCCGAAATGTGAAGAAGCAGTGTATCAAATAGATTCGTACCGAGCCCTTGTCAAAGCAACATTAGTCCAGTGAAGACTAGACATGAAGCCAATGGAACCATCACGATTCGATTTCACGGTAGATATTATTACAATATCTTCTTCCCCTCCCTGAAATCCATCAACTGTCTTCACATTAACTTCAAAATGTGCATGGTTATTATACTTCTCACCAAGTTTATCTTGTATGGACAAAACTTGAGCAGCATACGGTGATATAACACCAATGCGGAGTTTCTTCTTGGAGGCCGTACTCCAAGCTGCAAAAATTAGAATCGTATAAGAGTGTCAAAAATGAATGTACTGATGGAAGCTACAAACAGCCTCGATAATGGATAAATCGATGTTAGACAATGCTTCCTTAAACACAAGACAGTTCGTCCATCGTCATAATTTTAAGAATATTAGTAGAAGACAGCTCATTAACAAGTGTAGGATCAAAAACTAATTAATCAGTGTCCAGGAAAGACATTATAAAAAATGTACAAAATGTATAGGTTTTCGTTGATATGATTATACCTTTGAACATGCTCTGCACTATTTGCATGACCAATGCACTTCAACCAAATTTCGTCTATGTCCAAGATTATCGAGCTCTTCTTCTCCCGGTGGTACATTTATAAAGGCGTATGGACCAAAAGACTGTCCTGTAAGATATACTTTTTCATATGCATTACTCTTTACATCCGGAGCATCAATGATTTGCCTACGATGGAAAATTGAATTTGGGAACTGGCTTATCGAAGGATGCATCCTGTACTGAACGTTAAGCACGTGCTTAACATGACCAAAAGAACCGAGTCGTTTGAACAAGCTCCTTCCAAAGCCAGCTTCACGAGAAATCTATAAATAAATATGGTAAAAATACAGTCAAACCTCCCTATAACAAAATTTCACTATAACAGGTAAGTTTTCTTTGGAACCAATTTTCACGTTATGTTATGTAATATGTTCTCTATAACATCATTTAGCAATAGCAACCAAACATATCAAAACAAACAATGCCGCCATAGATAGGTTTGACTTTATGTCAGCTGAAGTTTCTTCAAAATTGCACATGAAAAGGGATACGTACTCTACTCTTAACTATCGTAGTCAGCTGGAACTCGTCTCCAGCTAGAACAACATGCCTTAAACCTCGAAGTTGAAGGGGTATGACTGCTTCGCACTCCTTCAACTGGTTGGCGTCATCAACAACCAATAAGTCAAATGGCTTCAATTCCACAGAATGTAGCTTATATGTAGTAGAAGCAGTGCAGAAAATCGAGGAGGCCATTTGGATACAGAACTCCATTATCAGATCCTTACTCGTCACGTTAGGAAAACGCAGTGTCCAGAGAGATTGCTGAATATCTTTCAGGGACTGGATAATTAAAGACACTCCAAATGGTTGCTGAGAAAAATAGAGCATCCTCTCGAGAGAATCAAGCAGGGAGATAGCGACCACCATTCTATCAACATTTTCTTTAAGGAGGAACTCTATAGGTACATGTGTACAAATCATAACCATGCACCTTCGGAGAGATGAAGCTGTCAAAGTAAACTGAGATTGCACTAAATCTACCGATGAGCTGATTTTCTCTTGCTCACCGAGTTCCTCCAGAAAGCTAATCATAGAATTCAAACAGGCATTCCAACCACTCTTTGGTGCAAGGCACTCCTCCAGCCTGTCAACACGATAATCGAGGGAAATCTCTGCTATATCTTCACCATCCTCACAGTTCCTATTCCCAAACAAGAGAATATCACCCAAAGGGTAAAAGCCATCATATTCATTGTTAGACGACTCTCGGACCAGTTTAACCAGATGGGAAGCAACTCGGGCTGTTGTTACATCCGTTGGGGCGCAAGTAACAGTTCTACACTTCATATGCAGCAGCTCAAAAAGCATTACACTTAGTGTCCTAGTCTTTCCAGTACCAGGTGGACCACAAATAAGTTCAACAGAAGCCTTGTGGTGGCATCTCACGGCAGCTAGAGAGGTAAATATTGCATTAGCCTGGGAATCGTTCAACTTGGACAATAGGCTAGACGTAACCCCTCCAACTGGTGCATCAAATTCTGAACAAACGTCACATTTCTGTTCGATCTGTTTGTGCAAGGGGACAAATATCAACATCATTTAACACCAAATTCATGTCAAATCGCAAGTAAATCAACAAGATTACTTACCTCATGCACGGGGGAAAGGACTTTCTCAATCATATTCAAATTCTCTCTCACACACAACATGTTCCATACTCTCTTATACGACATTACATTTACTAAAAACACTACATGACATGATCCTCGCATACCCTTAACATTTCCACTACCTGGAGGAACTCTTACTTTAAAATTAACGAATGCATCATTCTCATTGACATCAGTAACATATGCAAATGTCAATCTCGATCGCTGCAGCTCATTAGCATCTTCAAGTTTAACATTCGAGATAACAACAATATCTCCCGGTGATGTCCTATAAGGAACACGACCATCACAACATCGGTTCATCCAATAATTAACCTCAACATGAAAAAACAATGGTCCATTTGTCTCTAGTACTTCTTCAAAGGATATTAATTCAGCAAATGGTGCTTTAACTATGTCTTTCAAGGAAACAGCAATACATGCCCTCGTTTCTTCTAGTAAAGGGAAGACGAAAGAACTCAAATAATGATCTACTGATTCAAATGATTCAGAAATCTTCTCCACCTATACATTATGAAATTACATTAAAATCATATAGTAAACAAAATGCAAATAATACAAAAAGCTCTCCAACGTGTTGCGGAGCCTTCGGCCGTGAGAGGGCTGAAAAGGAAGCTCGAACGAAGTGAGAGGGTGGATGTAATTCACACTCTTTTGTATACTTCTTATATATATATATATATATATATATATATATATATATATATATATATATATATATATATATATACTATTATGTCAAGTGTATACATAACTGACTTATTTTCATGATTCTAAATCCTAGCTTCTCAGAGCAAGTTACACATTTGGTTAGTCAATCAAAAATAATTTCATCTGCTAATCAAACTTACACTATATATTACATATATATCATATATTACTATACAAAAAATATACATTTACGCGTTATTATTTATGTGGGCGACTATTTATATATGTCAGTTTTTTTTTTAAAAAAAGATATTTCTTTTGAACAACCTATAAAGAGTAACAAAAAATTGTATAAACTAACCGTGTATAAAACTTAAACTCGATGAAATTACCTGAGTTTGATACAAAGTTTCATCAAAAATATCTTTGATAGACCATTTGAGAACCAAATCAATGAAATCATTATCTTTAGGCCTCGTAATCTTCTTTTTCTCCATAGAAGAACCTTGTCTCATACCTATAAATATTATTTTAAAAAATAAATGTTACAATAAAATTTATATACACAAGGGGCGGAGCTACAATATAAACTATGTACAAGTTCACGTGAACGAGTAGCTTTAAATTAGATCGATATTTGTATTAAAAAATTCACTAATACAACTTATATATAGTAAGACTTTAGACATATATTGAATGATAACATAAAAAGAAATAGTATTTGAAATTAAAGAACTCATTTTCATGTTTGAAAACTCTTCTTTAGAAATTAAACAAAAAAAAAATCATTCAAATGCTTAATTAAGAAAGTTCAATGCATAAAATATTTAAAAAAAGATCGCACCTCAAAGCGTAATGTATATGATCTATCGTAATGCAAGTATTAGTAGCGGCATAACCAAAACATATATTAAAAGGCAAAAAATAATATGTAGCAACACACAAATGAAGAACTATATATTGCAGAATTTTTTTGTACAATAAAAAGGAAGTGAAGAATTAACAAGTTTGTTTCTTGGAAAACCAAACGGTGGTCTTTTCATTTTCCCCAATTAATTTCTCTTTTTAAAATAATTTAAGACTATGATTTATTTGTGTGTTAATTATTCAATTATTATTTTGTTGTTGTGACTTGTTTATTTATTTTTATTAAAATATTATCTTCTCTTTTAGCACGTTCTTTATATATTCTTTATCGGCGTTTGTTTTTATTAGTCTACTATACAATAAACATATATTTCTTTTTATTTATAGTATTTTACATATTAAGAAAATAACATTTTTTTCATGTTTTATCGTCAACATTAATTACTTATTTCTCAAATTATTTTTTATAGCTAAGATTATACATGAAGTAATTATGAGAACCGTATAAAATACTCATATTTATTACTATTTTCTAAGGGATATATAAAGTTTTAATTTCTTAGTAGACAATTAAAACTGAACGGATGAGTACTATTATATTATATAATTTTTAATTTTTTTATATGTCATGTTTAAGACTATAAATAACAGAATATTGTAATATATTTTTAATTAATAATTTAAAATTATAATATTAAGAGAAAGATACTTTTTTTAAAATTTCACGTTAAGTGAAAATTCGACAAGAAAAAAATCAAAACATTGAGAGTAGTGAATAATGTTTTCCCTATTAATTGTTATTGCTTCTTTACCTGTGTATTGTTCTTTTCAAATTGTTTTGATATATATTTTAAAATAATTTTTCTTTTTTTGCGAGAAAGAAATAAAGTTTATGTATATTATTTTTTTTATATTTTAAATTTTCACCGAATATGTTAATGTTCCTCGAAGACTATATAATTATCTTGTTATGGAATCCATTTGTGCAACTACCTGCTGGTAATTTGCCAATCAGGGCTTAGTAAATAAATAAAAATCACCTAATTTTTATTTATTTATTTTTTTAAAAGAAAACTTAAAAAAATTCACGATTTTTCTTAATATTTTATGTTTTCTAACTAAAATAGACTGTCTTTCAGAATTGATAATTTGTTCGTCTGTTAAAAGGTGTTTCAAAAATATTTGCAATTTAGTACTTTATCTTTTTCAAAAAAGGAAAAAGACTAAAATATGTCATCGAACTTTTAGAAAAAGTTTATTTATGTCATTCGTTAAAAGTTTGACTCATTTATATTATTACCGTTTAAGAAAAAGCTCATTCGTGCTATTATTTTAAAAGTGGTTTTGCAAACTATTTTTTACACGTGGTCAATTATAATTGAGTCACGTCATTATTGTTTTTATTTATAATAAAAATTCAAAATTCTGAACAAAACTAAATTAAAATAATTATAAGGATTTTTAAAAAATTGGATGGATCTTTATTTGGGTGAGTTATTTTAATATACTATGATTATACTATCTCGATCTACTTTTAATTGTCATTGTTTTCCTTTTAGAATCAAATGATAAGTACTTAGACTAATATTTTATAATGTAATTTTTTATCATATTGATATACAAAAAGCCACTTATAATTTATAATACTTTTTGACTTGCACATAATTTTGAATATCTAAATTTTTATTTAAAATATCAAATTAATTTATTTTAAAAAATAATTAAATTTAAGTTTAGAAAAACACATAAATAGAGTATAACTAAAAATAATTATCAATTTTGTTTTTCTGAATTTTAAAGCGACACTATTTTGAGATAATTTTTTAAAAATCTAAAACAACAATTAAAAGGGCCCCCCCAAGTAACGTAAAATGCAAATATGTAGCAAAATCTTATCCAATAAATAAGTATTATTTGCTGACTAGGATTCGTGTCAAACTCAAGTCATTTTCTTTTTTTCCTCTCAATTTCTCCGTTTCGAGATTCGATTAGATTTAAATTTATGTATTCATAAAATTTACCTTTGATGAAGTGTTAATTAGTATCAGATTTTATTTAAAATTACACATTATAAAATTCATTTTTAAACTATTTTAATTTTTTTACTCAATATTTAATATCCGCCTTAATGTTCAATTAAATTTAAATCTATCATATAAATCCATTTTGAGAGTTGTGATAGTGTTAGTACTTAAAAAAATGTAATTTTTCACTTGATATTTATATTAAAATTTCATTAATTTATACACACTATTTATTCTATTTTTAGAAACTACACTTTTAACATATCTTTTTCCTATTTTTTTTTTAAAATTCAATCTAAAAATTTTAATCGTATATAATCAATATAAAGATATCTTAATAATTCCACCCACCACATGTTGTCATGTCAAACTCAATTTAAATATTTGTGTCTATATGGATAAAAATAAAGTCTAGCTATTTGCCACATGCTCAATAAATTATTAAACAAATTTCCTTATTCTTCTCTAACTATAATAAATTAATTAAATTATTTTCGATAACTATAATAAATTAATTAAATTATTTTCGATAGATTCGCAATATGCTCCCAAACAATAACCATTGAGAAATTACAGTTATCCTAAATTCAAGCATTGTTTGGTAATAAAATCTTTCTCTTTTTAAATCACCTTTTCTAAAATACTTTTTTTTAAAAAAAATAAAAAATCAATGGTCTACATGCAACATTTTTTAATAAAATTATAAAAACTTACCCTCAATTTCAAGATTCTTATTGGATAACTCTGACACTTTTGTCTCCTCTTATCTAAATCTTATCTAATTTTTTTTTTCTATAAATACTCTTAACAAATCACCAAACATTTCATAATCAATTCTCTCTAATAATAATTCACTCAAATTTGTGTATGTTTTTTTAATTAAGAAAAAAAAAATGTTGGCAATATTCAAAAATGGTGTTGTTGATCCACCAAAGGAGTTACAAAGTCCAGCTTCATTACAAGCATCAATTAAAGCTGCAAATCCTGAAGAAACTATGAAGAATTTTTTATCTGCAAATCAAAATAATGGATTTTCTATTGGATTTATGAATAAGGCTTTTTTGGCATATTCTAATCCTTCAACTTCATACAATACTTTGTCAAGGTATTAATTAATCTATCTTTTTTTTTTTGTTCTTTCTTAAATTTTGAATTTGAATGGAGATTTTAATGAATAAAATGAAAACTCGTATTTTCTTCGAACTCTACTTGTGAAATTTTAATAGAGCGAGGTAGGACAATTCAAAATCTAAATTCCGATAATAGGTTACAAGGGTAAAAATGGAATATAAATGTTAATAATGGATTTCAGAATTTTATGAGGGTAAAAATGGGATATAAAAGTTAATAATGATATGGAGTCCGGAATTTCACTAGGGTAAAAATGAAATATAAATGTAATTAATGATGAAATCCAGAATTTGACGAGGGTAAAAATGGATATAAATGTTAATAATGATGGAGTTCAGAATTTCGCGAGGGTAAAAAGGGGATATAAATATTAATAATGGAGTCATGAATTTTACGAGGGTAAAAATGGCATATAAATAGTAATAATGACGGAGTCCAGAATTTTACGAGGGTAAATATTAATAATGGAGTCAGGAATTTTACCGAGAGTAAAATAGGAAAATATGATACTACTCGTTAGATTTGAAAATACAATCTCCGTCGATTCAAAGGATCTGAAATCATTGGGCTACAATAGTGTCATGTTTTGGTCTATTCAATTTAATTAATGTATCATTTAACTTGTATATAGGATTTTTTTTTTTTACCAATGATGTATATGTTTTTTTTTTGGAATAATGCCCAAGTACTCCCTCAACCTATGTCCGAAATCTCAGAGACACACTTATACAATACTAAGGTTCTATTACCCCTGAACTTATTTTATTAATAATTTTTTATCCCTTTTTAGCTTACGTGCCCACTATCTTGTGGGCCCAATGATGGTTGATTTTTTTTCCGAACTAATGCCACGTAGGCTAAAAAGAGGTAGAAAATTACATATAAAATAAGTTCAGGGTAATAGGACCTTAGTATAGTATAAGTGTGTCTCTGGGACTTCGGGTATACGTTGAGGGGTACTTGGGTACTTTCCCTTTTTTTAAAAAAATGATACAATATTGATTTTTTTTTGGTAGGTTGTTTTGTGGTGTGAATGACATATATTGTATTTTCTTGGGCAATTTAAGCAACTTGTGTGCTTTAAACAAGCATTATGGGCTTTCAAAGTGTGCAAATGAGGCCATGCTTGTAAGTGAGGCCTATCGGACCCTACGTGATAGAGGCCCATACCCGGCCCATCAAGTCCTCAAGGAACTTGAAGGTAGCTTTGGTTTTGTCATCTATGATCACAAGGCTGATACAGTCTTTGTTGCCCTTGTAAGTATATATAAACGATACCGTTTAAGTTACATACATCGTTAATTATTCTAAAATATCATGGGTGCGTGTTAGATTTTTCAAAAGTAGGTCATTTTTAACGAGTGTGACGACATTTCTGAGGAGTTTTAACGAGTGTGACGACATTTCTGAGGAGTTGGAATAGTATTTTTGTATTTGTTACTAATTGTTGAATGTTTGTGTATAGGGTGGTGATGAAAAAGTAAAGCTCTTTTGGGGTATAGCATTTGATGGATCTGTGATGATATCTGATAATGTGGATCACATTAAAGCAAGTTGTATCAAATCATTTGCTCCATTCCCAAGTGGTATGTATATCAAAACTTAGAAAATTCTTGCCCTAATTTATTTTTGAATTCCATACATAGTAAAAGTCTAGTGCATCAGATGAACGATAAATATAACAATTAAAATCACACAAATGCTTTGGTCGTGTGTGGATACAAACACGTGATGTGTGAATTAACCACTTGTGATATGTTTGAATTCAGATATGAACAAAGCATATGATATTTAAGTCGATTAGGAAAGTAAAGGAGCATGTCCATATAGTTGTTAGGTGCTAGGGCAAATTCAAGATTTGAAATTTGTATGTCTCAACAATGATATCGAGTTTATGTAGAAGGAGAAATACGTTACCTTAACATATATACATGATATACACAAAGTTGTTGAGTCCTCGTGAACTCATAAATTACACGTAGATTCGCCTCTAACGAGTGCGATTGATGTGTTTTTATAGGGTGCATGTACCATAGTGAAACAGGATTGAAGAGTTATGAACATCCAAGTTACAAGATGAAAGCAATGCCAAGAGTTGATAGTGAAGGTTCAATGTGTGGAGCTTATTTCAAGGTTGATGTTTACTCAAAAGTGAATAGCATGCCAAGAGTTGGAAGTTCAGCAAATTGGGCAACTTGGGGCCAATAGACGTAGATTTTGATCGTTCGAGATTTTTAGTCTTTTTATTTGAAATCGATAAAAAAATAAAGATTTTATTTAACTATTGCTTATGTTTTATTTTAAAATTGTATTTCAGTTATTTTTAATCTTCTACGAGGATCTCAGCTTTGTAAATTTCTTTTTTCTTTTATTTAGTATGTTTCGAGTAGGAAAAACTAATGTGCAAATACTTGGCTTTCTTATATGGGATTATTTGCACTTCTATTTCTATGTTGTGTTGTTTATAATTTTTTGTCATTAGTAATTAATAACTATTTCATTTGATAAAGTTTATATTTTTATATTAGAATCTTTTATAAGTTAATTGTCTATACATAATTTTAGATTTGAAATCAATTTTATGGATAAAGAGAATAGACAATGATCAACTCATTTTCATTTAAAAGATAAAATATGTGATTTTGTCATATATTATTCTCTCGCGATTATAAGTATTAAACATATAATAAAAATCTTATCTATTATCATTATCCTCTATATATTTTACAAATCTCTAAAATCTCACATTTTCGCGCATCATATTAGTGTGTCATGTATAAAATGTGATGTATTTTACACAACAATCTAATGTATCAATGTTTATATTATTGTATCCGTTTGAGAGATTTCTATAATTTGAAACTTTCACATATAGTCACTTAAAAATAATTAATTACTCTATAAATATAGTTTGATAATTACAAGTTATAGCTACATGTTATTTGGAGGAGAGAAGAGAGAGGCGAGAGAGAGGGGGAAAAAGTGGGAAAAAAGGTGAATTATATATGTATATTGGTTAGATAATTGTATAATTATACATATGTAATTGTATATATGGCAAGAGAGTTGGGAGAGGGAGGAGAGGCGCGAGCAATACTGGGAGAGAGAGGAGAGAAGCGAGCAAGATCGAGAGAGGCAAGCGAGAGAGGGCAGAGAGGTGAATTGTATATGTATATAACTATATATAACTGTATATTATACATATACATTTGTATAAATGGCAAGCGAGATTCGGAGAGGGAGGAGACAGGTGAGCGAGATTGAGAGAGGGAGTAATGTATAATGTTAATCGCGAGAGGTAATTATAGCAAACTATAGCTATGATGAGTAATTAAATAGTATAAATTTGTTTATCCACGTAATCTTTCCTTCTATAATTATTAAATTTTAATGAATAAATTATATTTTTACCTCTTAAACGTATGTGATTTTATAATTTGCCCATTAAATTATACTAGTAAGATTTTTTGTGAAAAGAAATTAATGTCGGAATTTTCGGCTCATACTTTGGGAAATTTTGCGGTACACACAAGCACCAAATGTTCATTTCCCTATGGTGATTATGTCCCAATCATAATTTTCTATATCATTTATATTTGCACAAATACAAAAAATAATAAAAAAATTCTACATCATTATATTTGTACAAATATAAATATCCCACGTTGTCATTTGGATTTTGTCTTTTATCTCAAAAATTCTTAACCAAGAAAAAGGAAATAACGTATTTTAACTTAATTTCAAATTATATTTATGAATTGGCACTTAAATTTGTATAAAGTAAAATAAATAGACATATATATAGGTATTTTATATGTTATTTTTGTTTAACGTGTATTGTGTCCTGTAAAACTCATGTATTTATTTAGTTAAATTTTTACACGTTTAAGTATTTACTTATGCATATCTAAAACTGAAAGATATAAATATAAAATAAGGTCAAATTAAAAGACACACTTATTATGCCAAAAATAAGTTTAGTACCTAGCTTTGCTATTCTAATTTTGTAGATTGATAACATTACATTTCATCATATAAATATTTTTTTTTCCAATTCATATCTCTTCACTCAATCGTAATAAGAAGTTTCTAATTCAAATAATCAATAAAAGATATTTACTAAAATCGTTACATTTTCTGTCATATAATATTTAAATTTAATCGAATCTCAATAAGAGAGATCGCGTGGGTGAATGGGTGGGTGGGGGTGAGAAAATTCCAAAAGGTTGTTGAGAAAAACAGCGTTTTGACAGTGTGTCAAAAGCAGTACGAAAGGAGCACCATCCATCGCTATCAAAGCTCTACACATGAACAAATGAAAATGCTGCACAAGTCGTCTTCTTCTTCATCATCTATCATTTCTTCCACAACGACGTCGTTTTTCACTGTCAAATCGCGCATAGTTTTCCACATTTCTTCATATTCACGGCTCTCCGAAGTTCAAACTCAGTTTTCTGTGTTCTCATCAAAAATTGAAGGTACGTAACAGTTTTTATCTCTCTAAATTACTGTTTAGGATTTGGATTTGGCTAAACAGTTTGATTTGCTGAATTTCAGTGTTTTTTTTTGTTGCTCCGGTTGAAATTTTTTGGCTAGATTGACATCAACAGAATAATTGACTGATAATTGTTCATTTTTCGAAGCTTCAAACACTAGTTTGAGGATTTGAATTGAGCTATAGACTGTTTAATTTTCGTGTTTTTTTGGTTGCTCCGGTTGAAAATTAGTGGCTAGGTTGACATCAACAGAATAATTGACTCATAATTGTTCTTTTTTCGAAGCTCTAAAAACATTATGTTTGAGGATTTGAAATGAGCTAGCTACAATTTGATCTACTGATTTTGGTGGACATTTTGTTTTTTCTCTATCTGTATTAAGTACGTACAATTTAGGATTTGGATTTAGCTAAACTAGCATTTGATTTCCTGGTTTTAGCGTTTTTTCTTGCTCCTGTTAAAAATTGCTGGCCAGGTTGAAAACAATGGAATAATTGACTCGAGTGCAATTCTAAACTCATAATTGTTGGTCGCTAGAGTTTGAGGATTTGAATCGAGCTGGCTACAATTTGATTTTCTGGTTTTTGGAAGATATTTTGTTTTTGTTTTTGCTAAAAATTGCTGGCCATGTTGATCACAGTGCAGAACTTAATTATGTTTTAAGTAATTAAGTCATGCTGATGAGTAGTATAGAGATTAATTAAGTTTGAAGTGATTAAAGCTGAATATGAGATGTAGGAGTTTGAAGTAATTAAAGCTGAATATGAGATGAAGGTTTTATTTTAGAGCTGTAAAAATATGACATTTGGGCCTAACTCAACCCAAAAATTTTATGAGTAGAGGATTTTCTCAAGTCCATATAAGCAGACCACCAGCTCATTTCCCAACCAACATGGGACTTTAACCCAGAACAAGAGCAAATTGGAAAACAGTGATATCATTGGTCAGAACGGGAGCCTTAGCACAACTGGAAAATCTGCTTTCATGTGTCTGGAAGGTCACGGTTTTGAGATGTGGAAACAACTTCTTGCGGAAATGTAGGATAAGGTTGGGAACAAGACCCTTGTGGTCTAGTCCTTCCCCAGACCACGCATAGCAGGAGCTTAGTGCATTGACCTACCTCTTTTTTTTTGGGGAAAAGGACGAATATATCCCCCAACTATCGTAAATGGTATGTGTATACCCCTCGTTATACTTTTAGTACACCAGTATTCTTATCGTCCAAATTTTGGAACATATATATCCTTTACACTAACGGAGATATACGTGTCTCAATCTTAATCGTCCATCTAATATTTGTTAAATTTTCTATCCAAAATTAAAAGACCCACCCATATTAATTTCAAAACCCACCCAAATACATAATACCCACCCAAAAACCCCCCATATCAATAATTCTCTTAATTTCTTCTCTTTCTCGTTTACCTCTTCCCCAAACAAATTTCATACAAATCTAACTAGATGAATGTGGATGGTAGGGACAAGAAGAAGAAAGGTGGTAATGGATTTCAAGTTGAGAAGAAGAAATTGAAGACAAGGATAACTCCATTAGCCAAAGCTTAAGCTGCACAAGCAATGGAGATTGAAAAATAAGATTTTTGTTGTAATGTATTCAGGTGTATTTGGTAACTAAAACTGAAGTTGTTTACGACTTACTTCTGCAATTTGCGAAAAAGAATTGATATTTAATCATGTTTCATGTTGCTATCTATATTCTTTGTTGTGTTCTTAAAAAAAAAAGTCTTCCAACAGTGCTTCTGGTGAGATTTGATCAAATTTAATACAAAGGTATAATAATGGTAATGAGTAAATAATTGATTTAGTCAAAGAAAAGGTTAAATGAGACAAGAAATATGTGAGAAAAGTTGAAGAGAAAATGGTGGATGATTTGGGGATGAAGATGGTTGGATGGGTCTTCCTCTCATGAAATTGATGAGAAATTGGAGGATTTAGTATTGACTTTTTGGATGATTTGGGGATGAAGATGGTTGGATGGGTCTTCCTCTCATGAAATTGATGAGAAATTGGAGGATTTAGTATTGACTTTTTGGATGATTTGGGGATGAAGATGGTTGGATGGGTCTTCCTCTCATGAAACTGGGAGGATTTAGTGTTGATTGTTGAGGATGATTTGGGGATGAAGATTGGGGGAAAGATGCTATTAAAAAATGTTTAAATTGCTTAATCTGATATTAAGTGAATTAATTTGGGAGATTTGGGTTAATATTTTTGGGTTGTGGGTATATATATTTGGGTGGGTTTTTACTTTAATTTCGGGTGGATTTTTCAATTTTAGGTATAAGTTTAACAAATACCGGGTTGGCCGTTAAGACTGAGACACGTGTATCTCCGTTAGTGTAAAGGATATATATATGTTCTGAAATTTGGACGGTAAGGGTATTGGTGTCATAAAAGTATAACGAGGGGTATATACATACCATTTATGAAAGTTCGGAAATATATTTGTCCTTTTCCCCTTTCTTTTTTGATATCATTGGTCAAGAATTTTTATTTTTGGTACGTTAGCTTAGCATACAACAAAATACCCAGTGTAATCCCACAAATGGTGTCCGGAGAGCGTAGGATGTATGTATAGCTTACCCCTACCTTTGTAGGACGAAGTGATTGTTCCTAGTAGACCATCGAATCAAAAGAAATATTGTCGAAGCAAGATTGCAAGAGTATCTTTAGCTTAGAATACTTAAAATTTTAAAATATGCACGTGCTCACTATTTTTAGATGGGAAAAGCTTAAATATGTTACATTTTGCTGAGTTCTTTTAGGGTTTAAAACTGTATTTACTTGTACTAAATCGTTTTTAGATGGAATATTACCCACCAAATGACTCAAGTGCAGTCTCCTCTCTGCTTTAATTCTTTAATTACCTCAATACATCAGAATCATCAGCTTTCTTTGCACTTAAATTACTGTTCTACTTTTAAAAATGCTTTCAGAAATATAAGTTTGATGCCGCTTGAATGTTACTTATTTGGTCTTGCGATTTGGATG